CAGTGCTTCCGAGCTTTTCAGTTCACGCTTCATTTGCCATATACACGACGAATTGTCATTTGAAACTTAACCAAATCCTCCATTACCCACATGAAATAATCAGTCAGGTTGTGAATGTTTCCAACCAAGTCATAACCCTGGAGGCTAGTGCTGAGTTGAGCAGGGTCCGTGGCCCGCAACAAACTCTCAAAGATGGGTTGTGCTATATCGTGTAAATGGAAAATGAAAAACGGTCTGATCAGCTGCCCGGTGGCGTAGTGGGTAGCACGCTCGCGTACTGCTCATGAAGTCCCGGGTTTGATCCCCAGTCGGGTCGATGGATTCGCACTGCTGGTGAGACCCAACCAAGTCGAAACAGCTGTCCAGTGCTTCCGAGCTTTTCAGTTCACGCTTCATTTGCCATATACACGACGAATTGTCATTTGAAACTTAACCAAATCCTCCATTACCCACATGAAAATGGCAAATGCTAAAAAACCTCCGACTCAATATCTGTACAAGACAAGCCAACCTCGACGAATCATGGCAAAAATTCTATGAAGGAATACTATTAGTTTAGACGCCTCCAACCCCGGCCAATTCAACATGGACGGTGATTTTCAGTTTTATGATAACTATCCTACGTAAATGCGGATGTTGTGGCAGGATTCAAACGGGGAAAATGGATGTGTGGAACAATAACAGATACATGCCTGAAAGACAAAACAAGTCATTTGATTCTGGGATCAGTTATAAGTTCTTCTATCCGTAATGTTGATGTAAGCGGTCTGTAGGTGGTTTATTTGTGAGCTTGTGTTTATGTTCATTTTATTTTTCAACTACTTATTTCTTATAAAGTAACTTGAACTCAAATGCGAATTTCAGAGTGCATTTCACACCTTGAAAACGGCCTGCTGTTCGCCCGGGGAATGAGGACAATGAAACAAGCGAGATTTGAGTGAAATTTTATTTAGGTGTATGTATGGTGTGCATATATATAGAGAGAAGAATATGTACAAAGAGCGCATGCATGTACCGACAACGTGTCGTAGACCTGAGTCAGCCAATCGGCTAGTCACTGTCCGCCTCCTCCTCGTCGTCAATGATCTTGGCTCGAGCTCTTTTTCGTGATTTGGACTCTGAGATCTACAAACAGACCAGAAAAACAAGACACATTGGACAGCTGTTTGTAGCGATGTGAGTATGAGCGAAGGTGGGCCTATTCGTATCCGATATAAGAACGGACTGATAGACACATCCCTTGCGCTGTATTATCCAGCGTGAACATATCTGTGCGTACCGATTCTCAGTTATCGGTTTTTGTTCTCTTAACGAGAGAACAGATGGGGGAAACATACACCCACCGTTCACACAGAACTCAGAGCAGTGCTCTCATTGTCGCACAGGTGGAGCGAACATGGTCGATCACTGGGAATCTCACACCATTTACTTACCGGCGATAATACGAATAAGGAGGAGAACAGGGGGTGGCATTTTTATGATAGATGGCGGGGGGAGGGACGCGAAATGAGACATTGTGAACAGCATACTGACAGAGTTATGCATGATCGCCATTGTAGAATGAAACTATCAAGTGTTCAGGATACAAAAATGCACACCACAATAAGTTTCAAGTACTGCACGATGGGAGCTTAGAAAAAGCGAAATCGTGCACGTTATAATCTTTTTTTACTTTAATAACAGTTCATTTTTTTACAGTCATACACTTTCGTGAGCCGGTTTCGGTTGCTGTCTCATGACTGCCCATTTGAATGAAGGGAAGCATGGAATGTTCATATCAGTGTCAGGTGAAAATAGAGAATTCATGGAGACCAAGGTTGCAACAATATTGATTAGAAGCACAAGCAACACCGCGACACTCATATAAATCAGTGTATCTAACCATCGGTTACGATTAGCCCCATCCAGGAAGCCTAACGCGGCTTAGGCGAGCAAGTCTCCTGCTCCGAGTTTTCATAACCTCATGCCCGGTCTGAGTCCGATAATTCTTAACTTTTTGTCCGCCCAACAATTGCTTCAGCCGACAGCACGCAACGTGGCAATCCGTTTGCTCACATGCGCAGGGCATGCCGTGACCAACGTAGAGGTTGATCACTTGCTCCAGTGGACACACCGTGGTTGCCTCACGCTCGTACGATACGAGATTGTGTGAAATTTTAGTTAGTCGAGAGAGAAAGAGCAATGACAGGCACAGTGCAATTCGATACATGGCATGAAATGGGGGTCGCAACTCACGTCACTCAACGACTCGGATTCAGATTCCGAATAGACAGTTGAGACTTCTGAAAAACAAGAGAAGACAGAGAACAGTGAGTACGGTGATGCCCGGGTGACTAAGTGGTACAATTCCGGTGTGTGTGTGTGTGTGTGTGAACAATGAATGTTACGCAACGGACGAAGAGTGAAACGCATTGCGAAGTATGGCTAAAAAAATAACAGAACAAACAGGTCGGTAATGACAAGCTTTTCCGATTGAACTATTATGGTGAAAGTCCTCCGTGGAAACGATAGGAATCTCATCTTACGTAGCCTTAACTCTGCTCTGACGATGCGTGGCACTGTTCATATAGCCTAAAGAGTCCTACTGATTTACAAATATTTGGTTCTTCATCAGATACCGGTAGGGATGCAGTGATATAATGATTTCGGAAATATATCGTATTTATAACACGATTTCAGGCGAACAATTGTTTTCAAGTGATAATTGGGAACCAATTATGAAACAAACTGTTGAATACTTTAATTACTTTCCCTCTCTTTGTTTCCTTGTAAATCCTTCTCTGATACTATAGTCATATTTATTGTGTTGTAATGGCATGATTAAGACATACTGAAAACGAGCTCGCATGCGAATCTGTTTTCAATAACTGAAAATCATGCCGTTACAGTTTATATGACAGAGAAAAAACCTAGGGGGTCGGGGGCAGAGAACAATAAAACGTGAGGAATTGTTCACTTCATGTGTGTGTGTGTTGCACACCGCATTCTCAGATCTGTGCTTCCGAGGTTTTCAGTTATGTCACGATGGTCGTGTGACCCAGTTCTGAGGGATTGGTGATGTTGTGTGAAGCTATTTGTGTGTGTGTATCGGCAGGGGTTAAGGGCGGGTTTACGAACCCAGGGGAAATGGAGAGTTTGGATAAGACGCTTCTGGGCACATNAACCGGTTCGGGAGGACCTGATAGATAACACGGAATGCTTCACTTGGGTTAACACGATGACCGGTGTCTACTAAGTGGGCGAGAATCGCACTTGTGATAGTTCCGGAACTACCTTGACTCAACCAACGCGAATGGTGTTCTTTCATGTGGATAGTTAAATGCCGTCGGTCGTACGACCGACGTAGAGTGTGTCACAAACGCATTTGAACGAGTAAAATATCATTGCGGTGGCAAAATTGGTAGTTCATCTTTATTCCGTATGGTTATTGGTGGTGAACTTTTGAAGGAGCAGTGTACGTGNGCTTTTACCGAATCATTCAGTCGTCTTATTGCGAAATATATGGTATTTCTTTGTTGAAACAAATGAGAAACAACGTGCAGAATGGGAGAAAAAACATGCTAACCGAGAGAGATTGATAATACCCACCGGGTTAGTGTAGAGTGTAGAGTAATAACAATAACGAGATATTATGTAAAGGTTAATGAAGTAAAGTTATCTGGATGGAGAACTACAAAACTACAATCAGATTTCCCAGTAGTCGCGTTAAGCTTCCCGCAGGGAAACTTCGCGTTGAACTAGTTCTGGCGTTATATACAATGAATCAAAAATTGTATTGACCATCTTTCGAGAGAGAAAAAGAAGTATCGAAGCTGGAATTATGAAACAATCTAGATGCAACGTAAACAATGCTAACCCACCTTTCCGACTGGCATTAAGTGAGGCCCGAGCATTTCGTTTCAAAGCATTCAACGAGGTGGTGTTACCATCATCCTCATCG